GCAGTTTGACCATCTGTTTGAGGCAGCTCTGCCTCTGTATCTATTATTGTTCAAAAGTTTATAATGGTCCCTATTATCCATGAATGAGTGAGATCATGTGGTATTTTTCCTTCATTGACTGGCTTATTTCACTTAGCATAATTACATGCACATTTCTTAAGTTTTCTTTATATTTTTGTATTCTCCCAGCATGAGATGTACATGTTTAAATCAAGGCACATTGCTTTTCTCCATTAATTTTTTGCATAATGCCTAATTTAAAATAATAATCACTCACTCAATAATTGCTATTGAAAGCAGTAAGTGTTGCACCGAAGTCTTAGTTGAGTGAATGTTTTAGGTTTTGAGTTTAACCTAAGGAAAATAGTACAGGTAAATGATATTTTCCACCAGCACTATAGAGACCATTCTTGGAAACATGTACTTTATATAGTTTTCTAACATGTACATATATAAATAGGAAAATGAATTTTCAACCTGTTGAAACTCTCCATGTTTTCCCATTCTAACTTTTTACACCAAGTGATGCAAAATCAGAAACAAGAACTGAGTCTCTCATCTCCGGGACCTCTCCCCCACCAACTTCGCCAATGTGAAACCCCAGGTTTCCCCGCCTAGTGGCATCACAGTTATTCTCTCTGTTAGCATCCTGCTCACCTTCCCCATGATACAGCTACACCAACGAGCATTTTTCAGCAAAGCTTTGCTTTATCCAGACACTTCTAGGCCACACCCAAACCCCAAAGCATAGTGCATACCTGTGGCCCTCACTGCAGGGACCCCAGCAGGCCTGGTCACCTTTAAGCTCCCCACAGGTCTTTCGGCTTGCCCACTGCCCCCTGACATGTTATTATCATTGGCGAATCACTTCCCGGTTCCATTTTATTACGCTGGCAAGTGCAATTTACGGATGTTTCAATCATGAAGGAAACAGGAGAGAAAACTAACAGATGAATTTTCAACTGTCATTGCCTAAACTCCCCTGAGGCATATGATGTTCAGATCAACTTCAAAGGATGTGAAGAAATTAGTTCAGCCATAACTATCAACTTAATGCTAATATAGAAGAACAAACATGGATTATGTAATTATTCAAAATGTCATTTCGAAGATGAAATCTTTTTGTCTTATCTTCAGTTAAAATGTTCTTATTGGGTTTTGGCTTTTCTCAAATGATGCTGTAAATCTAATTCATCTAACTGATACTCAGTGAGCATCTCTGAGGAGACTAAGTATCAGTAAACAATAAGCCTAGTATGTTTCATAAGCTCACAGATGTTGAGCCTTGTTACAACTAAACATATCAAAACGTTGCTTTGGAACTTACTGTTGCAAAGGAAGCACAAAAACGTTAACTTCTATTACAAATTAATAATGGCAAATGGATACAAAATGCAGATTATGCCCATAGGCATTCCAATTTCTCAATAGGAAAACGGAAGTATTTGTTAATCATTCAGAAGTGTTTATTGAGTGCATACTTAATGCCAGGCATTGAGAACCTGAGAAAACAGATGCAAATTTCCATGTCTTCACAGAGTTTTCAGTCTAGTGAAGGAGACATCCTGAACGTAAAGCTTGCAAGGCATCAGACATGCTGTAAAAAAATAAAAAATAGAAAAGAAAAAAAGGGGGAATCAATGAGAACACAGGAGAGTGGGCACATACATATGTTACTTTGGAAGGACAGGTGCAGCCTCCCTGAGAAACTGACATTATAGTTGTGTCCTGAGGATGAGGAGGGCTGGCCAGGTGAAAGGGGTAAAAAAAGCATCCTGATAAGAGAGGGCAGCTGATCAAGAATGCTGAGGTAGGAAGGAGAAGAGGGCGTTGGAGGAACTGAAAGGAAGTCAGTATGGGCAGAACAGAGCAATAGAGGGGGAAGTGGCAGAATATGAGACTGGAGAGGGAGGCAGGAGCCAGATGACCAAGGCCTGGGAAGCCGGGATAAAGTATTGGGAAACCTCTGGGTAGTTTCCCAAGGAGGAGTAATGGCCCAGCTCTCTGTGCTGCTGAGTGGAGAGTTGATCGAAGGGGGCACCGTGGAAAGCAAAGGAGTAGTTAAAGGACTGCTGTGATGGTCCAGCCAAGATCACGTCAGTGACATGCAGAGAGGTGGGCGGTTCAGGAGACATTTTGGAATTAGAATCGACAGCACTCTCTTGAGAATTGGATGGAGGCAGCGGGGTGGGGAAGAGAATCCGTTTCTGGCTTGAACACTTGAGTTGACCGAGAGACCACATTCTGCGGTGGGAGCAGCTGGAAGAACGGGGCTGGGGAAGGTCAAGAGTTCCATCTTGGACATGTAGAGCCGAAGGTACCTGGGAAGCAGCCAGCTGGAAATGAGACAGAGGCAGGTGGAAAAATCGTGCTGGAGCTTAAGGAATAGGTTTGAACTAGAACATTTGTAAACTGCTAGCAATGTAATTACATAGTTTGTTTAGTTAATTTCAGACCAGACATAGTTACCAACTAAATGTATTTATTCATATTCAGAGCACATCATTTGTAGCAGATGGATGGTGTTCAGGATAAGCAAACATGAAAGGCCTGCCAGTTATATAAAATTTATTTTTAAAAATGTATCACCCAGCCCTAGCAGTTTGACTCAGTGGGTAGAGTATAGGCCTGCAGACTGAAGGTCCCGGGTTTGATTCTGGTCAAGGGCACATGCCAGGGTTGTGGGCTTGATTCCCAATAGGGGGTGTGGAGGTGATTCTTTCTCATCATTGATGTTTCTATCTCTCCCTCTCCCTTCCTCTCTGAAGTCAATAAAAGTATTTAAATATACACTGAGTGGCCAGATTATTATGACTGTCCAGATTATTATGACCACCCCATTAGTACTTCATTGACACTTCCAAAAATACTGAATATTGAAAACTTCCTAAGCAAATACTCTCAAGGTTTTATTATTATTATTATTATTTGCATAACTAATTCACTTCATTGTACTGATGGGGTGGCCATAATAATCTGGCCACTCAAGATATATATATATCACCCAGACAAGAAAAAGCTAAAGGAGTTCATCACCACCAAGCCAGTATTACATGAAATGTTAAAGGGTCTTATGAATAATAAATACATATCTATCAACAATTGACTATAATAATCAAAATAAACCATCTAATGAACAAAATAAACTGGTGAGTAATATAGAACCAGAGGCATAGAAACATGGAACAGACTGACAAATCTCAGAGGGAAGGTGGTGAGGGGGTGGAGAGAGATTATATGCGAAGAACTTACATACATGCATTACCCATGGACACAGACAGTAGGGTGGTGAAGGCATGGAGGAGGGTGGGATTCCGGTGGAGGGAGCAATGGGAGGGGGGGAAGGGGAGACATCTGTGATAATCTTAACAATAAGGATTTTAAAAAACATATCACCCAATATATAATTTTATAGTTAAATTTTACATAATAAAAAATTAAAATCAATCATTCCACCACACATTTGTTTTACACACATGTGCTTTTGGGGGCTATAACAAGTAGCTGGAGGGAAGGAGTGCACAAACACTCAAGGCGAGTTTACAGCAAAAGAGAAGCCTAGCAGCACCGCCTCGATAGGATTTAATTTAAGAAGCAGTCGGGAAAGGTATTGTATTCATGTACTTAACAGTTTTCTATTGAGCGCCAAGGATTGTTTTAAATTCCAAAGCAATACTCAAAGACTGCAGAGTGTTTAGTCTAACTTGTGCAGGGTTTAAAATTCATTGCCAACATTTAAAATTTGTAATATTTTACATTAAAAATAATGCATTTTCATCTTACCTTGAAAAGTCAGAAGAGCTAGCAACCT